CAACCACTACTAATACTACTAATACTGTTACCGTTGAAAAACCACAAACTCCTATTGAAGAAGCATTAGAAGATGGTGAAATTGCAGAGTAAATAAGCTTTTTTTTTTTTTTTTTTTCTATTCATATTACTTTCATCATTTTTGTTTTTGTTTTACATTAAAAAAATTGTATTTCAAACATATTTTTAAAAAGCGTGTTTTGTCATTAAAAACATCATTATGTATGATGCCATCATAAATTTCACTGTAATAATCGATATTTAAACGAAACTGTCTTCGTTAGTTCACGGGTTGTTTTATTTCTTTTGTACATTCAAATGATGCTAACAAAAGGAGAGAAACCAACAATGTTATGTTTTATAATGTAAACATAAAAATATAAATAAATAAAATTGCTAAAATAGAGGAGTTGTGCAGCAATTGACATGCAGTAAATAAAAAATAAAAAATAAAAAAAAAAAAAAGTTGTTCAAGGAGACAGGAGAAGGCTCTAAAAATTACCAAAGATGTGTTTAATTTTTTTTTTTTTAATTTTAACGTAACATCGATTCCCTTACATTATAGTAATATGTAACATGCTTCGCTTTTGTTTTAATTAAAACCAATATTCTACGCTTTTCTTTTTCTTTCTTATTCTTTTCTTTTCTTTTATTCTTCAAAAAAAAATGTCATCTATTACTTGTAATAAATTTAATCCTAAAAGTTTACTCTATTCAATCATTGATAGTCAATCAATTCAATTGGTATCTATCCTTGGTCTTGGCGCTTATGGTATTGTCTATTTAGGCCTTAATGTGTTTAATGGAAAATACTTCGCAGTCAAATTATTGACACATATGAGTATAAGTTACAAAGAAGTAAATATACATGCCTATCTTTCAGGTCATCCCAACATTTTAAATTTTGAAAAGGTGGTTTATGAAGACAATAACACATTTATGGTTATTGAGTATACACCGGAAGGAGATCTATTTTCTGCCATCACATCAACTCGTAATCATCAATATCGAATTGTAGGCAATAATGAGGCCATACGCCACATTTTTTTACAAATTATTGATGCAGTCTATTATTGTCATCAAAATCACATCTCTCATCGTGATTTAAAACCAGAAAACATTATGCTCGCATCTAATTTACAAGTCAAATTAGCTGATTTTGGCTTGGCTACAGTAGAACTGGTTTCTAACGAATTTGGGTGCGGATCTGCATTTTATTTCTCTCCAGGTATATAGTACTTTAAAAAGTTTAATTGATTTTTTTAGTATAATTAACTCGTCCATATATATTTAATTTAGAATGTCAAGGGGGTAGTACTGTAGCACGACAGCACCATCGTATCAAGGGTTACAGCACACAGAAAAACGACATTTGGAGTTTAGGTATTATCCTCATTAATTTGACAGCAGGCCGAAATCCATGGAAACAAGCCACTACTCGTAATCCTTCCTTTGCCAGCTATGTTCGTAACCCACGTAACTTCTTCCGTACTATCTTACCTTCGATTTCTGAAGAATTAGAACGAATCTTGTTACGCATACTTTGTATTAATCCTGCTAAACGTATCTCACTTCCGGAGTTACGCCATCAAATCTTAAATTGCCAATCGTTTGTTGTACAAACAAAGCATGATTTGCCTCAACAACAACAACAACAACAACAACAACAAAATGAATTAAATAACAGCGTTGGATTAAAAAAGAAGCCTCAAACCCATTGTCTATGTTAGCTCTACTGCTCAACCAAACCATATTATCTTAGCAGTATTAGCAATAGATTAAAAAATTACTTGGTTTGTTTTTTTTTTCTAATATATACTGTACAGTTTTTGAAGTTTTTAGAGCGTTTGGAAAAGAATCTCAATAGGCTTTAGATAGAGTGTAGCAATATTAGTTATCTTTTGTGTTAATTTTAATGATAAGAACTTTTTTGAAGTCTGTCATTTATAATATACGCGTTTTTTTTTTAAAAAAAAAAAAGAAAAAAAAAAACTATAAATAAAATTTAAAAGAGGTTAACTTAAAATAGCACGGTGGTATGCTCTGTGTAATCATGTTAAGAATCTTCTTTTTATTTGTTTACGCTTGCATTACTTTTTAACATAAACAGAAAAGGCTGTATTATATACTTCTATAAAAAGGAAATTTTGTAATACAATAATACGCCATAAATCAAGACACACAGCTGTTAGTAGACTATTCTGGCTTTATTATTATTTTTATTATTATTTCTATTTATTATTTTCTCAGTATGATTGTGATTTACAAGCTCTTAATGGTTGGTACTAATAAGATGTCAATGAAAATTAAATTACATACTTTTAAAATGTGGTGCTCATTCATATAATTTTGATAGTTTTACTTTTAGCGAAAAAGAAACTTGTTTTATTATTATAAAAGATACCAAAGATGCTCAGGCGCATATATAGAAAACAGGCGTCGCATAAACAAGTTAAACACAATTTTAGTCTCAACTTTCAATTGACCATGATGTTCATCTTAAATAAAGTACTAGCTCCTTGACAACGACTACCTTGTTATACCTGATAATTATATAAAAGGAAATATATTGACCATAAAAACGGTGCTGTCATATATACAAAAAAAATACGTATTGGGCGGTTAGAGTAGATAATAACCTTTATTGCATGGAACAATAGAAGAAAGTTAGAGGATACGTATCATTATATGAAGATATAATAGAAAATTTTAAGCCTGATAAGTGAACGGCATAGCTACAAATCAATAAAGATAAACCCCTGAAACATGATTTTACAGAAATTTTTAGAATTTCAATTATTCTTGTAAGGTTTAAAAGGATAAGGGATAAATAAAAGAAATAAAAAGTGGGCATTTGTTCCTGTTTATAAGTAAAATAAAAATGATGTAAAAACTAATAATAGTAAAGTGAAGGAATCAAAAAATTACAAGTCAAAAAACAAGTATAAAGTAATACTATAGAAGGATCAATAAAAATATTGATTATATAATCTTTTTAGAGGGTTAAGTTTTAGAGTGTAAAGAAAAACGTATGATTCAAAAGAAATGCCAGTTAAAAAAATAGTTTAAATTTAATGCGCTGTTACAGACTGATTTTTCAACCATTCCTAAATCTCTAATTTACACTTTCAGCTTCTGAAAACTATAAGTTCTTTTGACAGGTTGTAAATTCTTTTTTATTATTTAAATTCTATATCCCTTTTTTTTTCATTATTTAACTTTACTAAGTCATTTTTTACTTTTGATTTACTTAGAATTGTTCAACATCATTTAAATGTCTTGTTGCCTAGCTAACTTTTAAGTTTAACACTTTTTGTTAATATTATAGAACGGCATTACGAGCACCTTGTAAATAATCAAATGGAGGAAATAAAATAAGATGTGAATACTTAGCTTGTACACGGGAAGGGAAATGTATGTTTATAAAATATATAAATTCCATCAAACAATAAATATTTATATTTCAACAACTGCTTCAAACTTTTGTCCTCTTATTATTTGAGCTACTTGTAAACTCATTGTATCTTTACCAAAATACAATAACAAGAACGTAGTACTTCTTTTCTCTGTATAATCTCAATATTTGTTTTTGTAATTGAACTCTTTTTATTATTTATTTTACCGCTTTAAAAATAATGTTACATATCGAATCTCACTCTTTCTTCAGTACAACTTTTACCACTATTTCCTTTTTTATTATTATCACTCCATTTATATTTCAGCTCACTTTTGCCGTATCACTTTTCATATTTCATTTTCACTCATGAAACTTATTTTTTAAACACATTTCTTTTCCGTATTTACTTTGAACACAGCTGTCAAACTCGCTTATGTAATTTTATACATCATACTCCTTCAGTATCCTTTAATTTATATTTCGTTTTCAGAACTATTATTCTTCCTTTTCCTAAATTAACTATCTATTATTATCAATACCTTTTCATATTAGTTTATTCATCTATCAAGACATCATCTTATTTTATTAGAAACACGCTTATCACAAAGTACCTTTTTAGTTAGAAATACTTTGATTACCTAACATTTTGATTGAAAAAAATCTCTACCATTCTAAATGTCAAAAAGAAAATTACATAATATCTTGGATTTGATATTTATCGAACCTTCTCTTTTCTTTATAATCACACACAAAAACATGTCAGGTACAAAATAGAAGATATCTAATGTACTTTATAATTAACAAGAAGATATATTTTTAGATAAAAGAAAAAATGATGTTTATTAAGATGAGCTTCAGGAATAATTTATATCTAAGGCTTGCCAGTGTTATTTTAATAGACTGGACTTTTACAATAATTAATATATAATAGAGTGGTAAAAAGATTGATTTGTATTTTTGGAATGACTTTATATCTAAATTAAAGTGGTACACAGCTTGTCTAAATTTAGTTGTGACAGGCTGTTAAAAGTTGTTTGTTCGTGGTTAAAGAAAAAGAAGTTCGATAAAGATAAAAAGAGTTTCGTGAGCACCAGATCTTGTTGACAAGTAGAACGGCTTGATAGAGTAAAGTAAAAAGATAAGAAAATAGAGTTTTTAAAAGTAAAATGCAATGGAGAGTTAAATATCCAAGGGAATCCAAATGTAAGAAATAAAATAAAGTATAATAAAAATAAGATATTATTAATATCAAAAGACAAGGTCTTTAAGTATAAAGAGGAACAATAAGGGTTTTAATTGTTACAAAATAGTGAATTGATTTTTATATAGTTTGATATTTTTAAAGGAGTATCGTCGTTGAGGACAATAGATAATTATATGTGGTAATACGTTGTCACGGTTAAATTAAATAAGCTGTATACTATATTAGATTAAAACATAAAAGGTTCTTCAAAAATAGAAATCAGTAAACATCATCTTTTTACTTCTATACGTTATTTATTATATGTACAGTCATTTAGAATTACTCTGACATTCAGTGTAACAAGGCCGAGGTAACACACAAGTTATTTGTGTGTAACAAAAATTCAATGCAATTAAAAAATTGATTCCATCCGGGTTCGAACCGGAGACCATGGCCGTGTAAAGGCCATGTCATAACCAACTAGACCATGGAACCAGTTATGGTTTTTTTGATTTTTATAATATTAAATACAATTAGTTTTAAAAACATCACGTGACAAGCACGTGATTATCACGAGGCTGCGGAGCAGCCCTTTTGTAATTTATGTATTGAGACTTGCACTTTTTTTTTTCGTCATGTCTATAGTTTTAAAGCGCCTTGTAATAATAAAATCTTAAAAGAGCAAAATTGATAAATATGTTTAAACGTAGTAATTTGTTGAAAGTCTTAAAAATAAGATAAGGTTTTTATTTATGAGAAAAAAAAGGAGGTTGTATTATTTATTATATTCAAATAAAAGGGTGGGAAAAGAGTCTACTCTTTTCACATAAGATTGACAGTCTTGATTCATAATAATTTATATGTTACACGTATGACCTGGTCAAGACGCGTTGTATTGCATGAAAGTTCAGAAAGGGTTTGTGATACCGGGATATTAATCATTTGTGAGAAATCAAGGAGAATTAAATAATAATAATGTCAAATAATAATAGGTGGAACCACCTATTAAATAGTAATCAATGATAAAGATATATAGCTGGTATATATCAAAAATATCTACGTTCGGTTTTAGGTTACAAAAACAGAAGCAAAGAACAAATAGAAAATGCATTATTTATTACATGAATGTAAGATATATACATTAAATCTCCAACTTTTCAAATCATATGCGTCTGGGTTGTCACGTGCATATCACGTGATAAAAAATGAGACACACAGTTAGAATATATATTATTTGTTGATTTTATAAATGTATTAAGGTTTCATAGTGTAATGGTTATCATATCGGTCTTTGAATCCGGTGATCCGAGTTCGATTCTCGGTGAGACCTTTTTTTCAAAAAAATTTTTCATCGCTATTTTTGTCAACGTCTGTAGTATGTGTTAAACTTGGATAAGTGTATATGAAATATCTAAAGTATAAAAGATTACTTTTTATTTAGTGAGGATTGAATACAGTTTATATAAAATTAAAGTAGTACAAAATAAATATCTTATTTTGACTAAAAAGAATAGTGACATTTTCAGTGTTGTTTGCGTTCCTTAGTTTTCTTTAAAATTGAACAAGTCGTCAGTGTGTCAGAGTTGTTAATCAAAAGATGTTGTGGTAAAGAATAAAAATAAGATAATAAGGCAAAAGTAAATGAAAAGTGAGCACCCGTTTCTGTTGACAAGTAGAACGACTTGATAAAATAAAGAAAAAGTGTAGTTTTAAGATAAAGTTACAATGAATAAGTTTTTAGTATTCAAAGGGATTTAGGTACAAAATAAAAGTAGGTAAGGAAACGATTAAATAGAAGATCAAGTTTAATATAAAAGGTTTTTAAATTGAAACAAAAAGTAAATTGAATTTTTATTATGATAAGATGTTATGAGTATTTACAGTATTATTTTTAGTTTTAAATATTTAGTGATTACAATCTAGGTAGATTTAATATGTTTTGCTGCAAAGTAAGTAGATCCAAAAAGTCGGTAGATTTTCGTGTAACAGAGTGTCAGAGTTACTTTAATAGACTGGATTAATAATAATTAAAATATATAATAATAGAGTGGTAAAAAGATGATCTTTATTGATTTGTATTTTTGGAATGATTTTATATATAAATTAAAGTGGTACACAACTTGTGTAAATTTAACCATGACAAGAGTAATTCTAATAGACTGAACTTATTATTACGTTCGAAAAGGTGATGTTTGAAAGTAGATGAGAAAAAATTAAGAATAAAGAAAATTAAAGGTGGTAAAAAGTTCCAAGGATTATGTTCTTGCGTGAGCACCAGGTTTTAAGTTATCCAACTAAAGTTTTGTAAAATAAATATATGAAAAAAGAGTTTATAACAATAAAATATAATGAAGAAAAATAAAAGGAATAAAGATAATTGAAGGGATTTTTTAAGATAATATAAATCTGTACGATATAGAATAAAAATGTATAGTAAAAGTAAGATAAGATTTATTAGAATTGCAGTTTTATGGATTGTATTCATACTAATATAAAGAGAGTCGGTTATGAGCTCCTTTGATAAAATGTCAAATCCTGGATGTTGTGTTATTATCTTTTTGACATTGAAATAATTAAGATCTTTTTCGATCCAGATGTCGTGTAATAAAAGGTACTATTTCTAAACTAAAATAATTGTTGGATTAATAAACGTGTATCTAAACTAAAAAGTTGTTGGACAAATAAAAATAATAATTCTAAATAAAATGATATTGTGTTCTGTGGAAATTAATAAACTAGTAAAATATATTGTTGTTTTGATAGACAGATAAACTAAGAGAAAAAGAAAAAGAAAGATAAAAGTTCTAGAAGTTAGAATAAATAAAGGGAACTGGAAATAATAATGGGTTAATAAATTAAAGTAAATGCTAGTTTTGTGCTCAGTTTAAGAAGTGGTTTTTATTTAAGAGGAATATACTGGTTTATCTATAGATGTTAATAGATTCCTTTAAGTACTAAATTAATGGGAGGGAGAGAACTTATAAGAAGTGTGAGATATGGAAACTAAAAAATCCAATAGGACTAACGAAGAAGTAAAAAAAGGTAAGAGAAAGAGTAGGAGTGCACTAAGGTGCTACGGGCTGAACATGATTTAGAGGGACAATCACCGATGAGGAACTTTGAAAGCATGGCTACCAAAAAGCCGCACCAAAAGACACGACGAGACTTTTTCACTTAGGGTATTGATACCACGAGGTCCCCAGGGAAGGGTCAGGCGATATGTTTTTGTTTGGATGACACAGCGCGTCCACGTACCAGAGGAGGATTAAGAGGCTTTCCCAAAAAGCGGGAGGACTTGATTTAGCTTTTGTTGGCAATGATGAAATAGCAAAATAAATTCTGTTGACACCTGGAGGAACAACAGGGAGAGAGTGAAGAAGATCATGTGGAATTGCACGACAGGTCAAGAAGTGTTCACGTGAAATAAGAGCACCTATATCAGTACAAGGACATTCAGTTCTAGCCATAGCAGTAAATCTACCGAGACGCCAACGAACTAGACGACTACGAGTACAATTATTCATTGGGAGATAGAGAATGGGATCGGGCCTGGTGGGATCAGAGCGGCAGGCACGTAGGAGAACATTTGTACCTTTTCGAGCATAGATCAGTCATTGGGCATCACAACGATCCTGGCAGAATTTTTTGAAGTGTGGGCTTAAAAGAGCGGGGCTTTCTGGTAGGGATAGATACAAAGGATTATTGGTCTTGAGATAATTATTCAGTCTTGAGTACCGAAGAGAATTTTGTAGATGAACAACCAGTAAATCATCAGGAAGGTAGCTGGACCGAAAAGAACAAATTTTGTAACTGTTGTGAACGAGCACATTATATTCTCATATAATTACACATGCTCTAATATCCTTCACTACTTTACGATACTATAAGTTTATTCACACTACAATAATTATCTAATTGGCTAATATATAAATCACATCATTGTCTCTATGATTAACAAGCCTCTTTTATAATTATCAGGTACAGCAACCAGTTATAATACTTGGGGACCTTTTATCTTATTTTCAGCAACATGTTTATTGTAATAGATCATTGATCATGGCTATGTTTCACAATTCATGCTTCGCTTGTTTAACTTCTATTTACTATATATAACCAAACACTTTTTGTACCTTTTAATAAAGTTTAGTTTATTTTGGCAGTCTGATTTATTTAACTTTGTTATATATTTTTTATAGCTTTTATTTCCGTTTGTTCTATCACTATAATAGCTCGAACATCTCAGTAACCAAAGAATTATAACGATGGATAACACCAGGGATACAAGTGATATGTTTAGCAACTGTGGTGTGGTCACTGTCGTATTTGCGTCATCTCTACTTATAAATATAAGTAGATCAGGGTTATAAACTAAACATTATAATAAAAACCTGACATATCTTCATAATAATATACATGTTTAACATTGTATATTATTATCAATATCTTGAACCTAAGGAAATATTCTATATTCAAATGCATATACAAATTGACGTAAAATAAGATCAATGGTAAAAAACCAAGATCAAATAATAAAATATAATTGAGAATAAAACAATACAAATAAAGTAAATACTCAATTCATATTAATAGAAAATAAGAGATATTTACCGGTAATAGTCTCGATACAAGCTTAGCTACCTTGTGTTGGGGTAAGAACGGCTATTACTGGCAAAAATACATTATTAATCTATTAATATTAAATAGTAATATTATATAACCTGTTTACAAAATAAATAAAAAAGAATAACATTGTTGGAATAAAGATTATCCCAGCAACCGTCAATTCTATCCCGAAACTGGGAAAACATGATATCAATCTAAGAATAAGGTTGATCAGGTCGTATGATAGAAAATAGTTCTTGTCAATTTAAAAGTATGCGCATTTACCAATGAAATCTGTAACAACGGAATCCAGACTAATAACAACCATGTAAGTAATTACAAGGTGATCTTTAGTCAGGAACCAGATATGTTGTTATCCAATCGGGTAGATAGGATCCACGATTATTTATGGTCAATTCGAAAGAGTAGAACGTACTTATTCAAAGGCAGAAGAGTTGGGTATAGATTCATTTAAACCCATCAAAAAGATGGTCCTTATTCAAACACAACTCATCAGGATATTCAAGATATAAAAGATGATTATTATTTTAGTTTAGAAGAGTTCTTTCAGTTTTATTTTATCTAATAAATCAACCCTAAGTCTTTTCTCATTAATTACTGATTGTCCACAGTCACTACGAGACTGAGTATCTTTTGTAGGGCTTACCCTATACTTTTTTAAAGCGGAATACATAGTAGGAAGGCAATAAAATTCTTTCTTGCTTTCTGGAAAATAAATTGATGTTAATTCCAGCATCGTGTACAGGTTATCTTCATTATCATCAACATCTTCATGCTTGTAAAACATATACATAGTTACCAATCGGCCTAGAAAGATGCAACGCTGTTAAAATTATATATATGTCTATATTTGTGGAATAAAAACTAACCTT